ATACAAAGCCCCGCAACAGTTACGAGAACACATGGGACAACCAGGAGGAGGCAAAGCACAACAGGGTGAGTGAGACCCAGCACTTCTGTGAGCCATGAAGGGAGCAGGTTTGCTCTGCAGGAAGCACAGTTTCTTCAGTGCCATCTCATGAACTAACTTCACACTGACCCTACTGACAGCGATGCTGCTAAAGAATCCCCTCTAGCCCAGAGAAAGGTATGCTTCTGCATAGACGGGGAAGAAAATGGCACAGACTCACTGCAAGTCTAGTTTTGCAAAACAGACCAACAAACTTTTCCCTCCTTCACAGACCAGTATACTTTTTCCCCCAGACACAATGGTGGTTTCCTGCATTATATTACCTGTTTACAAAGCAGGAAAGGAACTATCTGAAACCACCTACAGGCATACGCATGAAAAATGACTCACTTTAATATGTCCTCCAAATGTATCAAAGGAGAAAAACTGGCATTGATTTTGTCCATAACAGGAGTCTTCCATTTCTCCTTGAATAAGTATATTTCTAGTCAGAAGACCAACCTCTGCCCTCATATCGATGCCATCGATGACTTCTCCAATGTGAAGATAAAGTGGGCTGCCTGTGAAGATCAGAAACATTTTTATTCAGGGTGAGCACAGCATCTTCGTTATCGCATTGCTCTAAGCAAGTGCACACCTTTCATTTAAGCAGTCACCAAGTCTGGGGACATGTCCAGTGGTTTGTGTCTGATCCCAGAGGAGAACAGCACCTCCCCTGGCTTCTACAAAGGACTGCTGCCTCTGGGCAGACTTTCAAGTCCCGACATAATATTGGGGCCTTCAGCTCTCAGAGGTGCCCACGTGTTTATGGGACAAAAACGAGCTAAAAAGACAAGTCAATGTAGAATGTAAGAGACAAGACAATGTAAATATTTACTGCAAATGAGTAAGTAGCGTGATAAAAATATTTCATACCGTCAATTTTCACTTGATTACTTTTACATTCAGGGCAAGGAAGGAGATTAAACTCTTCAGCCTGATGCATAGAATAATCTGTGCTGGCAACGACGATCCGGTCACCGGGTAACCAACTTGAAACTTCATCCATCAAATGAAGAATTATTCCTTTGGACACTTCCACTTTAAAACCATTATGAGGCACCCCTAAAAAAATTAAGCAATCAATTATTTCTACATACGCACGTGACAGAATCATGCAATTAGCCAAATAGCATACCAGTTTAATTTTTATCTAGATAACCACATGCAATAGAAGTGCTCTAGCCATCAAATACATCAGTGTCATCTCTTTGTAGGCAGCTAAAACATTACTTTGTGAGAGTACTGCTGTTAGTGTGGTCGCCGTCCACGTGAGCAAAAGATTAGGGTCTTAATATCATTGCACTGTTCAGATTCCCAGCAGCCAGAAAAAGCAAAGCAACGGAAGACAAGTAGACGTCAGGGAAGACTAAACCTTTTATCCATCCACTGAAAGCAGTAACAGTAAACCGGGTGCCATCGTAGGTGAGGAAATCTCTTTGGGCTACAGCTAACCCCGTGGTTCCATTCCCGTGATACTCCCGTTTATCTTCCGCTGGGGAAAGCTGATCCCCTCCGAGGATCCCCACCAGCGCCCAGGGCTGCCTGAAGGAGACCAGGAAGGAGTGAAGGGACAGCGCGAACCTCCATCCTCTAAAGACCTTGGGCCGGAGGGGAGGGCGCAGCGCCATCGGCCTCCCCTCCCTCCCTCCCTTCCTTCC